ACACACCACAAACACCACACACACCACACACACCACACACACCACACACACCACACACACCACACACACCACACACACCACACACACCACACACACCACACCCACCACACACACCACACACACCACACACACCACACACACCACACACGCAAGCACGCACGACACCCGCCGAATCCCGCACTGCGCTACGCGCACGCGCCCGCACGACGCACGACGCACAGATGATGTGCACACGCGCACACCCACACACACACCACACACACACACACACACAAACACAACACCCCACACACACACCAAACACCACACAGACACACACACACACACACACACCCACACACACGCACACACACGCACACACACGCACACACACACACACACACACACACGCACACACACGCACACACACGCACACACTGCAATTCGGTAGAATTAAAATGCAATAGGATGCAGAAGCTAAACCCGTGGAGGCAGCCGCCGCCGCAAGGACGACGATGGTGATGGAGGCATGTGTCAGTCAGTGTGTATGGGTGGGTGGTGTATAATCTGAGAAGAAGCAGGAACTGCAAAAGCACAATGGCTTATCAGAGTCATAACCCGCCACTTCATTGTAGCAACTCCAACTGAAGAATTCAAGTCTGTGCGCGTGACCCATGCCAGTGGATCCAGCTGGTTCCCCACACACGCACACGCCGTTGCTCTGTACATTAACCTCAACAGAGTCAATAGCACTACGAAGCGAAAGCTCCCCTGGAGGCCGCCGCCGACGCAAGGACGACGATGGTGATGGAGGTGTCAGTGTGTACCAGTGGGTGATCTTTAAGCACGCAGGAACCGCAAAAGCACAATGGCTTTTCGGGGTTGTAACGTGCAACTACATTCTTTTCCAACTGATCGGATGAGGTTCTAGATGGTTCTAGTACGTGCCCGTGACATGCCAACGTCATCCAGCTATTCCCACACACACGCACACACTGCAACTCGGCAGAATCAACAACAACACGATGCAGAAGCTAAACCCGTGGAGGCAGCCGCCGCCGCAAGGACGACGATGGTGATGGAGGCGTGTGTCAGTCAGTGTATATGGGTGGTGTGTAATCTGAGAAGAAGCAGGAACCGCAAAAGCTCCATGGCTTATCAGGGTTATAAACCGCCACTGCATTGTAGCAACCCTAACGGAAGAATTCAAGTCTGTGCGCGTGACCCATGCCAGTGGATCCAGCTCGTTCCACGTGCACACACCCTGGCACAGCTCCCGAGCCTATCAGTACGGTAATCAGGCCGAGTCAGAGGGGTAGGACACGTTTGGAGGCCGCCGCCGCCGCAAGGACGACGATGGTGATGGAGGCGGTGTGTGTGTATGTGTGTGTGTGTGTCAGTCAGTCAGTGGTGCAATCTGATAGCAAAGCAGAAGCTGCAAAAGCACAACTCCTTATTCGGTTTATAGCGTGCAACAACATTGTATCATCACTGGCAGAAAAGAGACCAGCACGATAAGCAAAACCAAACAGGGGTAAAAGAGGCCTAAACCCGTGGAGGCCGCCGCCGCAAGTACGACGATGACAGCAAGGATGATGATGGCCACACGACTCCTCAGCCTACTTACCTTTGGGCGGGCCACTAGAGTCACTAGACAGTGTGACTACAACAGGCCAAAATTTTGTGTGACTGTTTGTGCGCAGGTGCGGGGAACACTCCCCGAAGTTGTGCCCTGCCAGTCGTTTTAACTTTCCTGCCAATTATCAGCGGTCCTGTGATCAGCCGAGTGCTCGTAACTTGACCTGCTAGACCGAAGCTTTGTCAAAGCGGAGCCGGGCCCCAGGTTGCCAATGGCTGTGAAGTGCAACTGCAAGGGGTCCAGGCTTCGAATTTTAAAAAATCGTTGTACAGGCACTGCCTGGAACTACTCCAGGCTGGACGATCCTCCAAGTCATGTGCGGAGGAGAAACACAACAACTTGTTTAGCCGAATGCCGTTGCCGTGCGCCTCTTGATACAGCTTTGCTGTCACGTGTCTGCGTGTCTCTGTGTCTGTCTCTGTGTCTCTGTGTCTCTGTGTCTGTCTGTCTGTCTGTCTGTCTGTGTCTGTCTCTGTGTGTGTGTGTGTGTGTGTGTGTGTGTGTCCGTGTCCGTGTCCGTGTCCGTGTCCGTGACCGTGTCCGTGTCCGTGTCCGTGTCTGTGTCTTCTGTCATGTCTTGGACGGGAATCGCGTGTGGAGCGTTGATAGTGCTTGAGCTTCAGTCGCATGTTCGGTACCCATATGTGCTTCCTTGCCGACCGAGGCCACAAAGACCTTTGCCTAATGCCGAAACCTTTGACCGAACCCCAAACCTTGAATTTGAAAAAGCCCTGAGAAACAAAGTCCGCGCATCTTGCCAACTCTGAATCTTGCATGAACCTTTCCCGCCTTGCGCGACTTCCGACAGTGCAACTACACCCGGTTCTGCATGGTTCTGCCTCGTCTCGGCTTGAGCATTGGCATCGGGGGATCGGAGGAGGGTTTAAGTGATGAGAGAAGCCGTGCTGGGAGCGCAGACGGCAGCCAGGCAGAGGCCTGCCCAGCAGTTTTTGGGGAGTTTTTTTAGGGGGTTGACGGACATCTGTTTGGGCCCCGGGTTTAGGAAGAGCACAAGCTACCCAATCACTCTGGTTATTCACTGAAGTGACGACAGTCATCTTCACTGATATGGTACCATTAAGAGGCTTAACGCTCCAAAAGAAGGGCAATCTCGGAGTCTCGGAGTGCTTTCTCGTTGTATGCTGCTTCCACCTTCATGTTCGGAAGCCAAACGCAACCCATGAGAAGTTATAGGCTGAAATCGAGAAGGAGTGGTGGCACTACAACGTGAAACTCAATCATGAGGAATGGAGGAATGCATCAACATGGCAACCAGCGAACGCACAACTGTATGCAGGATCAGTTCTACAATTGATAGTGTCAGCAATGTCAGAAGTCAACAAAAGGCTTGCCATACTAGAACAACCAGGCGGCTGAAGGTTTTTGCGATCGAATCCTTGCCTGCCGTGTGCGTCAACTACTTACGGACTTGAACTCGTACGGTTGACGCAAAACGAGCTAAAGAAAATAACGAGGTTAGACCTATGCATGCAGCTAGCACTCACAAACAACTGAGAAAGGCACGACGCACAAAGCAAATAACACATGTTGGACAACTCCAGGGTTGCTGGGGCGCCTCTCAAGAGCAGATACGATCCACTGAGGCGGGTGATCTTTGAATTTGGAATTGCTCCCCAGAGAAATGGGCGAGAAGCAGGAAGACCAAGCTGGCTGAGGATGGCCCCCCGTGCCAACAGATCAGAATTTTCATCGTCTTACATGTGGAGCAAAGCAGGGTTTAGGGTTTAGGGTTTAGGGTTTAGGGTAGGGTCGGCAGCCACGAAGCAACAGAACACAGCCACACACAACAATCGCATCACCCTGGATGCTACGTCCAATCTGCGGGGCTTTACGGGGTATTGTTGTCTTGCGAGCCAGTGAGTGCGTACAACGGGTAAGTTGAAGAGTGCTCCTGTTGACATTGCAGCGTGCGCCGCCTATGGATAGTGACTTTAGCAATTAATACATCTAGGACATTAAGAAGCAGCGACGGTGAGTATACAAACAAAGAATAGGGTACGTAGGACCCCGAAATCAAGAGTGCAGAATACACACTTCAGAGTTTCGTTGCTTTTCTTTTGCAGCACCTTGCAGGAGCGTGCTTGCCAAGAGTTGTTCTAAGCCAGCCCGAGCCAATTCCGTGCAACTCCCATCCCCACCGCCAGTCGGACATGAGCAAGTATGACTACATTCTCACTCTGCGAGATTCGGCCTGGGCGGCTCACAAGGCCGATGACTGACGCAGATCGGGATTCTGTGTCGAGGTGCTCATGCTCCAAGGGCTTTTGGGACTTTTGGGGATGTTGAGGAGACCTTGCGAGACCTTGCACGACCTTGCCAAACCTTAAGATGGGGCTTCAGTGGCTTCAGCATCTTTGTGGTGGTCGAGTTTCCAGAGTCGAGCCTGCTCTTGCGTCGACCCACAGCAGGAAGAAGTCAAGCAATTTGGTGAGACCAATGTGTGGGGCTTAAAAGCTTTCCGACTGGAATGTTGGTGCTGCGCAATTGCCACCTTGCGAAACGGCACAAGAGCAAGTGTAGCCACTGGTAGCCTGTTTTCGGAATGTGGCTGCAGAGCTTCTCCGTCTTTCTTCGTCAGGGTCAGTACCAACTCGCTCAAACCCCAACATGTCGGCACAAGGAACTTCTGAAAGATCTCCGGATCGTTTTCGCGGCGGCCTCGTCTTGTGCTTTTTTTGTTTGGGGAGAGGGTGGGGAGAGGGGGGGGAGGGGAGTGGGAGGGTGTCCTTGCTCATCTCTGGAGGGTCGGAAAGCTGACGGCTGTTTTGGCCCTTCATCGTCCCACTAAAATAGGCCTTAAGGGTTTCAAACCTTCTCTGCCCAGGACTGGCTGGCAGAGGAGAGGGACAGTGAACGAGTCTCCAGCCTGTGGGCTCGGCGAGGGAGGGTTCAGACTTTGAAATGGGGGGGCGGCTGGTTTGATCTAAACTCTAAACTTCAACTCATGGACCGTCTGAGTGAATTCCTCATAGAGTTCAAGGTACCATACCATTACCGGACAAGTCACTTAAGTTAGGTCAACCCTCAGGTGGGCAAGCCCTTCATCTCGACACGTATGAGTACGTATGGGTGCTTAAACAAGCTTCGGCTTGGTGCACTTCTGTCGCTGAGGCCGGAAATTCAAGCAGCGCTTGCCTGACGTGTACAAGAAGTTTCCATTGCTTGCCGGCTACCTCAGTACCTCTGCGTTGGGCTGGCAATGCATCCGATGCCCACCCGAGTGCTGATCAGGCCACTTGCTTCTCCCGGATGGACGTGCCCGGCTTGCCTGTCTATGCGTGCTTCCCACCAAAAGTTCAACCACTCAAACAACTCAAATCAAGGTCCTTCGGCTTAAGCCTTTCGGCTTGGCATCTGCCAGGAACGGCGACTGCTGGCTTGACTGGTCGGAGTTCGTGACCTTTTGCTTAGAGGCCGATTCGCCGTCAACCCAGCCCCTTGCTTCTCTTGATGCCCAAAGAATGCCTCGGCTTCATTCGCAGTCGGTGCAGGACGAGCGCATGACGCACCTCATGAAGAGACAGACTCGCATGAACGTTCGGATCCCGGCGCTTTCTCCTGGTTTAGGGTTTCCTCGCCCAAAAGGTCATGGCCCAGCCGCCTAGTTCTGGGCAAAACATCCTTGGTCATCCTTGAATCATGTGGGGGTTTTCGAAAATAGGGGACCCCCAACATAGATCCCCAGAGAGTAGGATCCCTTCTAACAAGGACCCCAATCTAAGGTGCCCCTATCGGAAACACCCATGGAGTCCTTGGGGATGCGATGCCTGCGCGTGCTCTGGGAAGGTCTATGGAGTTGACTTCTCGGGGGCGTTGACTGTAAAGGACAGGCCCGAAACCCGAAACCTCGCTGCCCCAAGAAGCCCCAGCCCCAAAACCAGGCTGCATGATTTCTGAATGCTCTTTGGTGTCGGGCCAGCTGCAGATTGAAAAGGGCCACTTGGAGACTGTGATTTTGATTGGTTGAAGGGCGTGGGTTTCAGGTTTCGAGTGCTGACGTGTTCATGTCAACTGGTGCTGTCGTGGAGCGATGGTGCAGTCTTATTCCCGTCTACGGCAGTTGCATAGCGCGGGTTCAAAAAGGGTGTTGGGGGCGGAGTTCTAGGGGTTGTGCTTAGGTGGTTGTGGCCTTCAATCTGTGTGCCATGCAAAGCTCAGAGAGTGCTTCGCACAAGAGTCGCGGCATGAAATCCTGGGATCATGTTGGTACAGTTTGTTATTGGTCCGTGGGGTAGGATCTCTTTCTTGTGAAAGCCGAAAATACTTGTCAGCTCGTTGCCGCCCGTCCACATTCTCTTTTAAGCCCGCTGCGCAATTGGAAAACATCTGAAAACAGGACTACCAAGACCCCGTTCATGGATGCGAGTGCTCTTTCTCGCCGCCGTTGTTGCCTTGGGAGTCGCAGCCCTTGCAAGCTTTGCAAATCAGCAGGTCGCGCATGGTCACGCGCAGTTGTGCTTTCTCCTCTTGTGCGGTTTGGGCGCCTGTTTCGTTTCTATCTGGTCCTCATTAGGTCATTAGGTGCCTTCTAGAGAGCCCTACTCCGAGGACCATGCACGTGGTGGAATGGCGCATCACAGGCAGGTTGCGGGCAGGCGTAGCATTGTCAAACAACTACAACCTGACTACAACTGTCCACGCTAAATTCGTAGAACGCGCTCCTGAATTGAAGTCTTGTCGCAGCAGGATGTATCCCCATCGCCCTATGCCTGCGCATCAAGCATCCTTTCGGGAAGGCCTCCAGTACAACGGCTTCGAGAGGGGTGTGCCTGCCACGATCTCAGATGCAACGACTTCTGGGCAGCACCTGCGTAGGATGTAACCATCCTGTCTGGGATCCGTGCAAATGCCCGTCTCCGCATTTGCAGACCCTGCAAAGCCCAGGTTATGCATCACGGAAGACCCATCGGCCAGAACCCGAGCTACATGTTTCAGCTTCTTGATAAGGAAGAGGTCTTGGCTCGTTCAGGCCAAGCACTGCCCAAACTCCTTCCCCCAAACCTTCCATGGTGCCAGCGGGTGGTGAACCTTCGGGCTCAAAAAGGGTGCCAGCGCTGAGATTCCGGGACCTTCATCACCTCGCCACCCTTTCGAGCTGCGGGTGCCGACTCCTCAGACTCCTCAGATGTCATGTGAGGGGCGCTCGGAGGTTAGGACGTACTGTGGACTTCAGGAGTTGCAGTTTCGGCCTTGGGTTTTTTTGTTGTCTATTGCCGGAAGCATTGCTTTACAGATGTTGGTCCTTTTCGGATTTGGAGTTTACAGGGTTGGCAGAGACAGAGGGAAGGTTGGAGAAGGGGAGGAAGAGAAAGACACAAAACGGGGAGAGAGAGAAGGTGAGACGGCACCGGGGGGACCGTGGAAATGGGCAACAACTACTACTTGGAGGCCGAAAGTGAGGAAGAGGGCTCCTATAAGCGATAGTGAAGACTGTTGTGAAACTGACCACTCCAATGGGCCCCGATGAAAACCGATGGGGACCGAGCTCGGACTGCCGCGAACCCGTTTGGCTATCGTGGCCGGGTTCCCTCTTGGGGAGGGGCCCTAAAGCGCGCAGAAGAAGAAGACGTCACCGGGAACTCGAGCGGCTTTCATGTTTGTCTCTTCGAGTTTGAGCTTCACGTGGACCACGATTTCGGACGTGCCAGGCGCGCAGGGGGCAGGGGAGTTCACAGCTCGAACGAAAGAAAGAACGAAAGAAAGAAAGAAAAATGAAAAAACAAATAAATACAGAACACAAGAAAGATGCAGAAAGATCATGAAGAAGTAAGAGAAAGAAATAAAGAGAACGAAAGAAAGACGGATGCCCAGGGCGGGAGGACCTCCTTCCCCATGCGCAGCAGAAGAAGGATGTCCAGCCATTTTGGCTCGAGCCGGTGGGGGGCCCGCAATCCCCTGCGGCTTGCGCCATGTGCTCTGAGACTCTTTGTTCCGCCAGCTTGGGGTTCCGCCTTGGACGCCCACGGTGAGCACAGCACAGTTGCAGAAAACAACAGGGCATCTTCACGCTTCTCTGCGTCTTTACGTACTACAGCTTTCAGCTGATCCTAGGGGCTGAGCCCTGCAGGTCGCCTCAAGTCCTCTTCTTCAGGAAACAACGTGTCGGGTAGGCCCCCCACAGCGGAGGGCAAGCGAAGGGCCAGCGACTTCTCCCGGTACTTGCTTGAGTCAGATGAGCAGGGCAGAATCGCCCTAGGGCCCTAGAGTTTGCATGATGATTGCGCGGCACCTCGTCACCCCTTTCTGTTGGGTGACCCAGTTGGGTGTATATTGTTCTGAATTACGGCTTTGGCAAGACAGGTGAGGCGGTGCTGTGAGCTCGCATGGAATGTGGGGTGTGGTGGGTGCATGCTGTTCAGAAAGTCTGGCCCAGCCTTGTCAAGGTCATTGTGAACCCCTCCTTGTCAGAACCCAGTAGAAAGATTAAGGTGTCAATGTGTGTTTCAGTGAGTTGCATGGAGACGCGGCCTTGCCAGCGCGTGCGCTAGTTGTGACTCAGTCAACTGATCCTCGACAGCCCGACTAAGACAGGAAGAAGAAGAAGACAGGAGATGGAGCTGGAAAATGGGGGGAATTGGGGTGAGTGGGTGCCATCAGGTGGCGTTGAGCCATTCTGTCTGGCTGGCTGCCCAGTCCCACCGGCCCCTGCAACTGAAACTCCGAACCCCAAACCACAACAAACCCTAAACAAGCCCTAAAACGGTGGTAAAAATACTTCTAAGCTCCACATACACCTCTCCACCTCATCCCAAGGTCAAAGGCTTCCTCAGGTTCTGGCCTGTGGCTCCGCCTCGCATTACTTCCGGGTCACATTAGTCCAGGGTTTTGGGGAGATGTCCTGGGCTTGAAGCAAGTTTAGCGTTCAGGTTAGAAAAAAAGGGCAAATCTGGGCCCCGCTGCGGAAGGTTGATTGACAAGGGTCGGATTCAGGTGTTTCGTAGCCGGGAGTGCAGCTGCAGGCGTTGTCATGTTGTGCTTCGACGTTCAGGGCGGAGACCGGGTTATTATTACCGACGGGCGTTGGGGGTAGAGGATTGTGCACGAGAGGTGCTGATGCACGCTTTCGAAAGAGTTTAGAATTCGGCACTGGGATCTTCTTACCTGATCTACAGCTGCATGAGTTCGCATCTTTTGGGAGGAGCTCGTTTCGGCAAATAGAATGCTGGACTGCGTCCTTAGTCACGAACGTCGCTACCTACTTATCAGCCATGTGCGTGGCTTACTGAAGTTAAGCTAGCAGCAACATCCCTTTGGCGGTGTGCCTCGCCGTGGCAACAATCGTAAGCTCGCCTACCAAGATATTTGTTTTGGGATACGGTGGTTGGTGATGGTCTCCGGGCTCTGCAGAGAAATATCGGCCCGGAGTTACTGCCATGTCTCAAAATCGGGAAGTTTCAAGGGCAGCATTTCCCGACTCGTTTTGCTCATGAGGCCCTGTCTTTGAGACAGGGACAGTCGGCAACTGCTGGGCTGAAGTGGAGCGCCCCCCTGAAAAAGTACATCCTTCTTTCCTCGAAGAATTTCATGCGAAAAAACCTCGAATGCACAATGTTCCGCAGCAGGTTTTTGAAGTTACATCGGGTTTTGGGGGTTCGTGGCTTTAAAGTCTTGTCTTCCGAACTGTGCAGGGGGCGGTAGCAAGCTGTTAAGTGAAGGCACCGATGCATCCAGGCCAATCTACAACAAGCTGAAGCTCCTAAACGTGAACCCAAAGCCCTACTCACCCTAAACCCTAAACCCCAATCTGCAGGCGGGGTACTGGACCGCCTGCCAAAAGCGGAAGAAGAAGGCCGTGATCAACTTCCTGGTCGTGCCCTGGCTCGGTTTTGAGGAGCTCCCTTTAGGGAATCCTGCCGTCGCGCAGCCCCTAAACACCCCCTAAACCCTGACAACCCTAAACACCCTAAACACCCTAAACATCCTAAACACCCTAATCCCTAAACCGCTGGTAGTTCCGCTAAACACCCCTAAACCCTAAACACCCTAACACACACTAAACACCCTAAACCCTAAACCGCTGGTAGTTGCCGAGCTACGTCCCCGCACCTCGGAGCAGCTCCGACACTTCGGATATCTCACGATCTTACGATCTCACGTCTTGCAGTCCTCATGATGATGAGCCGGGGGTTACCGTGTCTTATGCAGAAATCGCTACAGCCAGCGCCGGTGCACTCAGCGCCACCACCAAAAATCTTGCGAACCGGATCAGGAATCCTAGGTAGTATGCCCACTGAAAAGCCCGATGCTCCAGATTCTCTACTGGCATTCCCGAGTGAACCCTAACAGTTCCCCAAAGCCTCGAAGAGCAAAGGATAAAGAGGAGCCTGGCGCCCCATGCCCCATGGCAGCATTCGGAGTTCTGGGACCTCTCCCTCTTCTGAAGGTAAGAGCAGGGTGCCAAAACCCTAAACTTTAAACCCTAAACCCTAAACCCCTAAACCCCTAAACCCTAGCCCTAAACCCTTCAGCGAAAGAATGGGCTAAGCCTTTGAGCCCAACGATTGCACGCCTGGCAGGCCCCATACCGCCCCCGAGCACATGGTGCTGCGTGAGCTGTCGGGTGCCACCAGGTCAGAGATTAGGGTTTAGGGTTTAGGGTTAAGGGTTTAGGGTTTGGGGTTTAGGGTTTAGGGTGACAAGTAAGGAAGAGCTCAAGCTTCTCATTTAGCACTGATGGTGGCCTCCACGATCATCGGCCTGTCATACGAAAGGTACACTTTCCGGGGTTCGATACGGACTCGCTGCGCAGCAAGTTTCGCGGCTTTCGTGTAGTTGAGCTTTATTCTCTGAGTGATGCCGAGCAAGGCAGATCTAGGAGCGCTCATGCCCAGCGGTGCGAAAGCAACGACCATTTCGCACTTCGCCCGCCCGTACGATCAAAAACGACGACCGTTGGCGAGAGCGCGATTTCAGTCCAAAGTGCGAGCTGGCTAAGATCTAGAGATCCCAAAAGGGGGCGTTGGAAATAGGGGCATTGCCACCAACTAAAAGGACATCAACAAAAACATTGATTGGGGACAGGACGCTACTATCATGCTGTTCTAGTATATATGACGGCCCAAAAATCCCTCAACAGTGAACCCGAAGCCATTATGTTAGTCAAATCTCGCCTTCGAGTTGTATGTAATCACGTAAGGGGGCGGAGCCAACAAAAAACACATTATTTTCTGACTACCGCCTTCGAAATTTGCTTTCATGTGTGTAACATGGCGGTACAAAAATGCCTCACAAACTCCGGGCTTCGGGAGCGGTGCCAGAACCCAAAATATGTGTTTTAGAAAACCGTGGCCAAATTTGATTTCTTTTAAATAGATTCGGCTTGTGTTTTTGGAGCCAAGAGCAGCCATTTGTACGGTTTTAACATGCCAAACGCATTTTTCTGTTGAGGGACAATGCGTTCGGCTTGTGGTTTTTGAGCCAAGAACAGCCATTTGTATGGTCTTTACAAGCCAAATGCAGTTCGGCTTGGTTTTGGAGCCAAGAACAGCCAATTGCACTGTTGTTACAAGCTAAACACACATCTTTCTGGTGGCCAAATGTTTTTTTCCAAGCCAGATGCATGTTTCTGGCGAAAGATGCGTTTGGCTTGGTTTGGAGCCAAGAACCATTGGAAAATGGTTTACGTCAGGAAAATGTACTGTTTTTTCAAGCCAATTGCATTGTTGTTTTGCTGTGTGTAGGTTTTACGGTAGCCCTAAGCCCTTACCACTAAAAACTAAACCCTAAACACTAAATCCTAAACCCTAAACACTTATAACCACGACACTACAC